ATTTGGGAACTCGGTTTGGAAAGGGCGGACCGTTGCGCGGCTCTCGGGATTGCGCGGGCCTGAAGGCGGCTCTCGACCAATGCGCGGCCCGCCTGCGGCCAATTGCGCGGGTCTGCTCTTTCAGCCGCGCAATCGGCCGCGGACGGAGCAAGCGCGGGCCGCGCATTTCGCCCAGAGTTCATGAAAGTACAAGAACTAAAACTTAGGAAATTCACTTCATTTTTATCTAACTTCGTATAGCGATTAGTTATAACGCTACTTGATGATTCTTAATCAATCTTCAATGATGAGCGTAACAACTTCTATGTGCTGCGAGGTTAGTTTCCAAATACATTACATGTCTACAACCTTTGGGGCTGAAAAGAACGATAAAAGTGAGTTTTTCTTGTGGTAAATGTACTTTTGTTTTAGTTTTTGGAAATAGAAACGATCACAAGCGGCCGCGGCGCCATTTCCGCGACGATCTACCTTGGCCGCAGCACGATGCGCATTTCTGGTTAGTTTTTTAAGCTATTTTTGCTTCAGTAAGATGGGTTTTCTGGAAACGCTACCGCGTTTAGGATTGATGATCCTGGGCAAGGGCGAGCTGCAAATTTCGACCGCCTGGCGCTGGTCGGTGACACAGCAAAAACGCGGTAAGCTGTTTGAAATTATCGAGTTTCTTTGTGAATTTAGGAAAGAGCGATGTTTCTATGGCTTGGGCGTGCGATGGATCGACAGGATATTGGCGCGAGAAACAGGTACGTCAATATAAATTGTTAAGGGGCTTTTGCATTATCAGGAGGTCGTTCGTCTGAGTGTAAGTTCTGTCAAGATCTTTTTTCGACGAATCATCAATAAAAAAATATGCTTTTCAGGGTTCTAGTTTTCAAATCCGTCACGACGAAATCAGGTCTAAAAAATTCAGTCTATAAACCGACAAGATATATCCTGCCTTGGTATCTAATAATTAACAAAATTTATAATTAATTAAAAATATAATTTAAACCAGACCAAACCCAAAATAATTAGGGAAGATGCCTGTAAGCGATTTTCAGGACATCTTCACCGGGCAACCTCTACTCGCAGGATGAAATACCCCATATTTCTTCTATGTTCTGTTTTGATTTTCTAATGCAGTGTCGCGATATAAATACAATAGACTCATCACACTTCCTTGCATCGGTCCCGAGCAATAGAACCTGCTAAAAAGCAGGTTTAATATGGAATTTAAACGTTTTAAAGAGGGAAAAGCTAGCTACGGCCCGTTTGCCAGGCGAGAGCCGCCTCAGGCCCGCGCAATCCGGAGACCGCGCAACGGTCCGCCCTTTCCGGTTGCCGCGGGCCTGGGGGCAGGCACATCTCCAGGCCCGCCTTTTCCCCCGCGCAACGGTCCGCCCTTTCCAAACCGAGAATTTCAATATGCGACCAGGCGATCTTGTGCAGAATTCCTTTTCGCTGATGAAAACGTTATTTGTAGAATCTGCGAAGTTTCCTTCGTTCCAGATTAAAGCAGTTATACTTTAAGGTATGAAAATTTGCAAAATAGCCCACAACGGTCTATTCAGAGAATTCTCGCACGTTAAAGTTTCATAACTTTTTTAATCTGGTGGTTTCTCCAGTTCTATGAGGTACGTTTTGCTCAGCGAAAAATTCTAGATTCCAGATACATTCTTTTTAAACAAAAAAAGGCTCATTGAAGCTTGAACCCACTCGTTTCCGGATTCCGGACTAAACACAGCATGAACTGATTATTACTATCGAATGCTGGGCACATTCTGGACCCCAGTTGCAGAATTCGGGGGCCCAGGGCCTTGCAGGGGAGGAAACACCGGCAGTTCCACTGCTCGCCGCCGTATTCCGTAATAAATTCGCGTCCGAAGAGTACGTTTTGCACTGTGGGCACATCCACGTTACCCCAGAACAAGTGCTGTGGGCTTTGCATCTGTAAGGTATAGTTCTTTTTAGTAGGTATTTTAAGGTGTATTAGCAGTTATAGGTCTTCTAGATACCGGAAGCATTGATGTGGCTGCATGCCCGGTTTGTCCAGCAACACCGATAGTCGATCCATCATGGCCGCACGCGCTCGGGTGGATAGACAATCGTCTGTAACGGTTTAGCGTTTTTGCGATGTTTCGTAGTTTTCACGGGTATTTTCCGGCGTTTTCACAAAATCGGGGCAGAGCTCATTTTTCTCACTATGAGCCCAAATATACCTAGTGTTTTAGTAAATTGCGACTACATTTTGAGCGTAAAAGTGTCTAAAAACCTAAAAATGTGAAATTACGGTCGATAATGAGCCGTTGTTGGTCGACCATTAAATATTTTGGTATTTTTTATACAAATTTTTATAGTTTTGACACTACAAATTACAAATTGCCTACAAATTAATTCTTGACAAAGTAAAAACCGTTCAGAAGCAGTTGTTTTACATATAATTTATAGCTTTTTATGTAATTTTCTAGGAGAAGGCATTCTTTTGCATTTTGGTAACCCAAGCTTCTACTTACACGTGCTCTGCTGCGTCATCTGGATCAAGTGCTCGGGCCGTTTGGACCATCGACAAGCATGCGGGGATCATCTCGTGGAGGAAGCAACGGTCGAGCAGCGACAGCCTCACGAACACCGACAGCTGAACGGCTTGAACTTGTGGGTATTGCTTTACTGCGAACCTGGATCTGCGGTTGTAGCAGGATGTGGGCACATTTCCGCAACAATGCCGGGGATTCCATCCGGCAACCGGCCATCAGGATCGGGCCGATGTTTTGTTCTGAAAGGGCCCGGTTTTGGCGTGTGTTTTTTTGATGCAATCTTAAGACGATCGTTAGAACTTAAAAATAAGGCCGAGAACAGGATAGGAGTTATACGGTAATTATAAATGAAAATGGCGGTTCTTTTGCCTTATCGGGGGGGGAGAAAACGTCTTTTAGGAATTAATTGTCTAAATATAAATAGCGGAATGTTTCTAAACTGTTCTTGCCTAAACTAAACTAAACTATGCTTAAACGCACAAACTTTACAAAATTTCATTAAAAAATACAAAAATATCGATTTTTCGACCAAAAAATGACCGTAATTTGACCAACATGTCGACTTTTTGTAAAATTTTTCAAAGTTTATAGTTAGTTTTTCTAGGTAAAGTATGGTTTTATTTTACTAAAAACGTTACGAACATGCTTTCTATTCAGTTACTCAGCATTTCTAGATTTATATTAAAAAAATTCGTATATTTGTTTGTATTAAAAAATAATAAAAATAAAACAAACCATTAATGCGCAGCTGCGGCGGGTGGATGGCCATCAAAAACGCCTTGAGCTCCTCGTGTGAACACGGGCAGAACATTTCTTCGGTGTTGGAGGGCCCGTGGAAGATTCGCTCCCCTATAATTACGCCAAAAATTCGTTAAATGTGTCTATTATAATTAATTTTAATGCAATTAGTCACCTGAAAAACATTCGACCAGGCCGCCACGTAATACGGGTTCACGTAGTAAACGCGTCCAGTTTTTGCCTTAATGGCGGCAAAGTGGAGATCGGTGGCTCGTTGGTACGTCTCGAGGTCCAATGGTGGTTCCGGGATCTCCTAAATAACAAAAACATAAAAAAATGGTTTTTTTTGTACAAATAATTTCGGTTCTTTGGCATTATCGGGGGCAGAGCTAATTTATTCCTATGATTCCAGAAATTCCTGATTACGTAAACAGTAAGTGGGTGTAATCGTGTTTTTAGGAATATTTGAAGCAAAATTTTCTAAAAAATCCACAAAAATTTTAGAATTTTTGGTATTTTTATGCATTTTCGAAAAAAATCGGCCTTTTTTGGCTGCGAAAACTTTGAATATTTCATCTTTTTATATTGTAAAAATCGTATCCTAAAGAAACACATCCCCCCGATATTGCCAAAGCACCATAGACTGGAAATAGCTCACCTCGGGAGCGGGGGCGCCATGCAATCGCTCGAGCAACAGCACTTTCACCCGATCGCTCAGCGCATAGTACCTAAAATCGGGAAATATAATTTAAAAAAGTAAGTAAGGAAGTAAACACGTTATTTTGCAAAAATTTGGCGTTTTTAAACTAAATTAAACTCAAAAAGCTACCTGGTCCCGGAGAGATCGATCTTGCTGTTCGGCCGCATTTCGCGGAGGGCAGAGAACGAGCAGTCGATTCAATTTGTACCGATCCGCAATCCAGACCTGGGAAAAAAAGGAGTTGGCCGGTTTTTATACATAGACACCAACCTTTTCCAAGAAGGGCAGATTGTGGTTGATGAGGAAACATTCGCAACGGTGGAGCAGGCCTTCCATCTAAATCAGTGGTCTTTAGCTTGTCTCAGGCTTGACTTGGCTTAGGCTTGGCTTAGGCTTGGCTTAGGCTTGGCTTAGGCTTGGCTTAGGCTTGGCTTAGGCTTGGCTTAGGCTTGGCTTAGGCTTGGCTTAGGCTTGGCTTAGGCTTGGCTTAGGCTTGGCTTAGGCTTGGCTTAGGCTTGGCTTAGGCTTGGCTTAGGCTTGGCTTAGGCTTGGCTTAGGCTTATAGGCTGCAGGCTTGGCTTAGGCTTGGCTTAGGCGCGGCTTAGGCTTGGCTTAGGCTTGGCTTAGGCTTGGCTTAGGCTTGGCCTAGACTTGGCTTAGGCTTGGCTTAGGCTTGGCTTAGGCTTGGCTTAGGCTTGGCTTAGGCTTGGCCTAGGCTTGGCTTAGGCTTGGCTTAGGCTTGGCTTAGGCTTGGCTTAGGCTTGGCTTAGGCTTGGCTTAGGCCTGGGCGGGCAGGCTTGGCTTAGGCTTGGCTTAGGCTTGGCTTAGGCTTGGCTTAGGCTTGGCTTAGGCTTGGCTTAGGCTTGGCTTAGGCTTGGCTTAGGCTTGGCTTAGGCTTGGCTTAGGCTTGGCTTAGGCTTGGCTTAGGCTTGGCCTAGGCTTGGCTTAGGCTTGGCTTAGGCTTGGCTTAGGCTTGGTTTAGGCTTGGCTTAGGCTTAGCTCGGCTCAACTTAGGCTTGGGTTAGGCTTGGCTTGGGCTTGGCTGAGGCTTGGCTTAGCGAAGGCTTAGCTTTGGTTATGCGTATGCTTAGGCTCCAGCTCACCTGATAATCATACGCCAACGGGAGCAGAATGTGCACAGATTGATCGTCGATGGCTTTGTAGGTGGGATGGATGCATTCGAGCATCTCCATAATGTGATCCTACACGATAGGGAAGCGTTTCTAGTAACGTAATGTACTTACATATTGGACGTTGGCTAGGATCAGCTCGCGATCCGGGCACTCGATGCACCACGCTCTGAAAAAAAAACGAGTATTCCTGCTTCGGGAAACTCTAAAAAGCTTTGTTTTTCGATATTTCGCGCTTCGCCAAAGTCCATATAATTTTTTTCGGGTTCTTTGGAAACAAATTTTTAATTAAAAAATACAAAATACCGATTCAAAGTTCAAGAATTCGACCAAAATTTAAATTTAATTTTTTTTAATGTTTTTGAGATAGATTTATACTCCAAGTCTAGTAAAATTTGATTAAAACCACTATTAAACTACTTCCTTTTACGGTAATAGGTTATTTTGGACATACAAAAAAAATGGGTTCTCTCCGGTAGCCCCCCCGATAATGCCAAAGCACCGTTTTTCATTTTATCCAAGCTTCTACAGCCTTTCTTTGACGTATTCGCTCCTTTTTTTGACAAAAACATCCCAATTTGCCCAGTTTTTCCCCCTAGGCAAAAAAGCTTCGAGCTCCGAAAATTAGCCGGGGCCGCAGTCAGGGCGTAGCCAGAAAAATTTCGGGGCCCCCAAAAAATTTTTGCAAAAATCTCAAAACATTGCCGAAAAACAGCGCCGCAGGCAAAAAATTTTTGAAAAAAAGGTTGCATAGCTCTACAAATAGCCGTAAAAACGTGAAAAAATAGCGCCGCAGGCAGCAAAATTTTTGAGAAATAAAATCATAAGGGTCCCCTTATGAAATTTTCGGGCCCCGGCCGATTTCAGGGGGCCCTGGGCGGGGCCGGTATTACGCTACGTCCCTGGCCGCAGTTTTCATTGCTCGGCCGCCATCCAAATTGGTGTGTGTGCTCTCCTTCTCCACCTCCTCCTCTTCCTCCTCCCCCTCCTCCTCATCCTCCTCCTCCTACTCCTACTCCTCCTCCTCCTCCCCTGGTTGGTCGGTGGAATGAGGTCGGGCCCCCAAGGCAGCAGGCTCCCTCGCTCAATTTTCCCATCAGCCCCCCAAATTGGAGTCCGAGGCGGCCCTAGGGCCCGGGGGTCGGCACTCGGTATGCAGCTCGCACTCAATTAGTTGTGAAATGGGGTTGGTGAGAAATAGGTTAAATGGGGATTTTTTTTTTGAGGAGGATCTCGATTCAAAATTGCAAGCTGTAAAACCTGAGCCTCAGGAAATTGAGCATCAGCGTATGAAACAATGGATTTGTTTTTTGAGCATGAGTTCTGGATTTTTAAAGAGACTCTTAAGGTATGCGTAAATTTCGAACTTTAAGATGTCAGAAAAAATGCAAAAATCCATGATTGTGGGCAGGCTAGCGGGGATTCTTGAGGAATTCAACAGAGTGAGCTAGCAGAAATTGTGTAAGAAACCTTTGCATTTTCTAGGAATTACAGTGTACCCCAGGAATTTTTTATGGACCTCAAATAGCCAGCAAAGATCCTTTAAAAATTCTGCATGGCATTCTAGCAAAAGATTCTTGAGGAATCCCGGCCGGCAATCTGGGAAGGATTCCTGGAAGTTGGATCCGGCAAAGCAAGGCTTACTGAGGAACCCGCTAGCGGAAATTAGCCGAGATTCTTTAGGAATCCCGGCCGGTAATCCTGCAAAGTTTCCTGAAAACAAACCTTAGCACGGGTGACCACTCGGAGATGTAGTGCTCATCGACGTAAAGCCGTTTCCCCTCGACCAATAATGGTCGAGTCCGGGGCCCATCCGGTCGAGTGAAGTCGATCGAGATATCGATCGATGGAGCTTGTGCTGAAAAATCGGGACATAACATAGAACTACACTACAACACTATAGAAATTTTTCCGTTTGCTTTTCTGTCTATCTGAGGCTGAATTCAGATGAAAAGGAGCTCGAGCTCAGGTTCACGTTCACGCTTGCACCTGTTGAGTGCGAACTCAAACGGGGACGAAAAATGACGGTTAGAGGGTAAAAACATATATTTTTGCAACTTGGTGGAAAAGTCCTTGATTGAAAAATTGCTGATGGTGAGCCAGGTGGCGCGCGGAGTGGGAAATTTTTTGCTATTTGCATTTTTTTGGTGTTATTTTTGTGGGTAGAACGAATAACGATCGATTTTTCGAGTTATGCCCGATCAGAAAAAAAAGCATACCTGGATGCAGAGGTACTTCAGGCGGGCGTCCGGAGACGGCCCCGGCCGGGGGCAGTCCGTTTTCTCGGAGCGAGGACAATATTTTGCGGAATCTCGGCGGATGGTTAACGACCTGGAAAATGGCGAAAGTTCCTTAGTTTCCAAGTAGTTTGCGTATTTGAAAACGATAAATTAGGAGAGAACGGCAAAACGAGCAAAGCAAATATTTATGATTTTGGAAAATTTTCGATTCAGTTTCATGAATAGTTCGAGGGCAAACGAGCAGAAAATGCACAGGAATTCGGGAAATCTGTAAAGACCTCTGCAAAGCGTTATAATTCTTCGATAGATAAATTAAGGGGGAACGTGAAAGAGAATATCCAAAGCAAGAAAAGCTGGTCAGCAAAAAGGTCATATTTTGGTAACTTTGCGATGGAGTTTGATCAAGAATCCGGGGCAAACAAGCAGGGACCATTTAGAATTTGAAGAAAAGACCTAAAAACGCCGGAAAAAACGACGAAAAATTAATCAAACTAATATTAACCGAAAAAGCCGATGCTAGTTTTTCTGACTCCGATAAAACACCAACTTGAAATGACTGCCAAGATTTTACGTAAATTCAACGACTTTTTGGAAATTTACTAACCCCATCCTGCACATTATTTCACGCCTCCACTAGTCGCTTCCAAAAAAGCAGCTTCTGACGCAAGTTCCGGCCGAATTGGGGGCTTTTCCATGCTTTTTCAGGCTTCTCCAAGCCATTCGGGGTCTTCTTTCAATCGCCATCTATTCCGGTCTCAAGCACAAATTCCCACGAAATAGCCTGGGGGGGGGGGGGATTGGATTGGGGCAGAAAAAGGGGTTGTGTGGATGTGTGCTTCTGACCATCCATAAATTATTCCGGGCAGCCCTTCCGGATGCCGTCCGGTTAATCATGCGTGACGCGCCGAGGTATGGAGAGCGTACGGTGGATGGTTACGGACTAGAATTTAGGAAATTAGCATAAAAAGGGCGATTTGTCGAATGGATCATTCAGATGGAGAGCTTAGTTTTTTTTTAACATTCGTTAAAATCTTTCATTTTACGGTTTCAGCTAGTTTTAAAATTATCAAAACGTACCAAAAATGGATGCTCCAGGTTTTTTACTTAAATTCAAGAGAAAGCCGGGGATTTTCTCGGAATTTCAGCCATAATCTCGACAGCATAATCCCGACAACCAAAATACCGACAGGTCGAATCCCGACAGCCAGAATACAGTAGGTGAAAATCCCGACAAGTGAAATTTCGACAAGCGAAAATCTCGACATCCATAATCGCGACTGGCCAGAATACCGACACGACCAAAATCTCGATAACCATAATCCCGACAAAATCCCGACAGATCATCTTTACAGCTTCCTTTTAAACAGCACTTTATGTCGGGATCTCAGCTGTCGGGATTTTCGTTGTCGGGGTTTTAGCTGTCGTGATTTCAGTATTTTCCGGTGTATAAGGAATACCCGAAAAGGGCCCTAAAAGGGCTCGGGCTTAGCGTAGGATAGGCTTAAGCACACAACGATAATTATGCAAATCGACATCCAATCAAATATTTCTCATTCGGCAAGGGCCAACTTTGGTCCAAACTTTGGCCCCACGGCCAGACAAAAATGATGCACCCGAAAAAGGGCCCAAAAAAGGGAGGGGCCCAGGTGGGCCCCAGGGCCAGGGGTCGATTGGGTAGAAGGGGGGTGGGCCCTTCCCAGGGACCAAGTGCACTAGTTGTCGGGTGGGCCCCCCGTGGATGCCATCGTTGGGCCCCCCAAGGGATGAAGAGGGGGCCCAGGGACAGAGGCCAAAAGGGCCCGAATTCCCCTCCCTGTAGGGGCCCGCCAGTTGGGCTCCAACAGCAAAAGAGTCTGGAATCCCCCCTCCACGCACTGCTCTCGCCGCGTGTGAAATCAATGCCCTCGGGGGCCCACACTGGGGCCCTCCCGTGGGCCCCTAGCCTCAAAAAGAGGCTTCTCCTCCCGAAAACAGCCCTCCTACTCCCCCGCTCCATCCATTCAATGCGCGAGGAAGAAACTTTTGCTGAAAGAGAGAGAGAGCGAGAGAGAGAGAGAGAAACTTTTGGCGATGTATCGTTGATTGGGAATCCGAGGATTGGGGTGGAATTGGGGCAATCTTTAGCCGAAGATACTGTATAAGACAAGACAAAGGTACCAAGAAGCGTTATTTTAGTAGCGTAACTTAATGGCGATTTTCCAAATCTAAAAATAAAAAAGATTGGCTAGGGAAACAGGCAAAAATCGCGATCCCCGAAAAAATAGATATCTTAAAGACATTCTTTTACGGCCTTTTAAAGGCGCTGTAAAGCCCGATTTTAGTAGCGTAATATAATGGAGATTAAGATTTTAAAAATCAATTAAATATGGGTGCACTTGCTTCATTCGGTTTTCGAAAATTCCAAATAAAAGAAGTAGGAAACGCCTTTCAGGCCCCTTTAAGGCCATCCATACCTAAGTAGCACCTTGAATTCCGACTAGCTACTATTTACTCGAGAAGGACGACCACGAAGAAAGATCATCTAAAGGCGTCGGTCCTAAAGGCGTCTGTCTCTCTCTCCCTCTCTACTAAACATCAGCTCCCGCATCCATTTGCATTTGATGTATCCGAGGGGGTGGTGCCTGGAAACGCGAGTCGCCGGAAGTGCCAAATGCCCTCGGGGGGCATCTGTGTTTGTTCAGGAGGAGAAAAAAGTGTCGAGCTCTGTTAGGGTCTGATGTTCATAGAATTATTCCGTACGCCGTGGCGAGCCTTTGGAGGTGCCGAAAAGGTATTATAGACTTGACGAATGGACGCGAATTCCTCAAAAACCTCTGCTAGCCTACCGAGCGGATCCTTAAAAAATCACGGCTAGATTGCCCGACATGCCTGGGCACGCGGGATCTCTAAAAATCGCTGCTAACTTGCCCGAAGCGAGTCTTATAGATTTCTAGCCCCCTAAAAGTACACTATCCCCTTAACGCGTCCCCCAATCACCATTGTGTTGCCTGTTTGTCTGTCTGTCTGTTTGTCTATTTGTCTGTCTATCTGCTCGGGATCTGGTCTCGTAATGCCCCGAGGGCTTTTCCTCAGCAAACACTGCGCGCTTGCCCCCCATTGTTTTTCAAGGTGCTGATGAATCAGCGTGATTTGGTGGTGGTTTGGGATCAGGGGTACGCTAGCAGCGATTCCTTAGGAAGCTGGCAATTTTGCTTGACGAGTCAGATCGAGCAAGCTAGCAGTGTATATTGAGGAATTCTCTCTAGGAAAAACGCTACAGCAGCGCGCTGTTATCATGGCATGCCAGCAGAGGCAGTTGAGGAAACTATCAAATTTAAGTAAGGGAGAACGAGCAGGGATCTTTTAGGATTTATTAGTCCATGGACTGTGTATTACAAGCTGGCAGCGCGGAAATGTCGCAATTTTACCATGGAATGCATCCAACATTTGAAGTCCTCTGCACTACTCGGTACACCCTGCTACATTTCCCTCCATCTCGTAATCCGCCGGTCGACTGAATTCCAACACTCGAACGAAAAGCGACCGACTCGGCTAAGGGAACCAGCTCGCGTGTGCTCATCCGGACGTTCCTCCATTCCCTAGCCTCACTCACCGAAAATGGGGTCCCGAACGGAAAAGAATGACTGTCAGGGGAGGGGGAGTCTCCAGGTAAATGGCTTCGATTATGGCTGACCGGAGGGGGAAGAAAAGGAGGAGGAGGAGACGAGCTTATTTGGACAAGTTTTAGCTTTTCGAGGTGTTCTCAGCTTCCGCAACTATCTAGAAAAGAAAATACGTGTTTTCTGTAAAAGTGATTAATTGAAAGTCGGGATGATGCTCTCTCTCTTTCTCTCTCTCTCTCTCTCTCTCTCTCTCGCTCGCTTTCTCTCTCTCACTCTCTCGGTCTCCCTCAACTGGAATACTTTCTTTAAAATCGCGGCTGAACGTCTCGAACATCACCAGCTGGGCGGGCGACTTGAAAAAGCCCGAGAGCCGAAATACAGTCAGAAGACACTGTCCATAACCTTCACTATCTCTCGCTCTCACTCGCTCTCTCTCTATCTCATTCTCTCTCTCTCTCTCACTCTCTCTCTCTCTCTCTCTCTCCCTTCGAATAGTCCTCCGTGTGTATGTCCGATGTGCGCGCGGCGCGGGTGTTTATCTGTGCGCCAGAGGCGGGGGGGGACGAGGGTCTGGATGGAGTCCTCCTTCCTGTCCTTCCCTTCTTCTTCTTCAACCCTTCAGGCCCTCCAGTCACGGACCGTTTTCCGTTTTCCACCCCTGGCTCGCCATATTTTACGTTACAAGTCGGCTACGGTGGTGGTTACGGTATTTTGCTATTTTCAAAGCGTTTCTGCTAACTTGCCCTAAAAAGATTTTGTTAATTTTGGGTTTCATAGATTTTCGAGATTCGTGGATGAGCTTTCTTCACTTTTATAACGCTTATTTGGCTGTTTCTGCCTGAATCTACGTCCCTCAATCGAGCCACAGGCCCGGAAATCAAAATCCAGACATTTAAAATACCGACAGCCAGAAATCCCGACGCACAAAATTCCCGAAAGTCAAAATAGTTGCATCAAGGGGGTGACGTCCAAGCAGCGTCAAGAATATGTCGGGATTTAGTCGAAATTTGGATTCTCGCCTGGCAAATTTAGGCTGTCGGCATTTTCGGGGTCGTGGATTGTGGACCGTTTCGCTGTCGGCATTTTGTTCTCTCGGCATCATAGTTGTCGGCATTTCGGCTGGGCAGCAGTTTATAAGCGCTTAAGGGAGCAAACTAGTAGAGGTCATTTAGCTAAAGTTACTGCTTTTTTTGATTTTCGACAACAAGTTAGTACAAGTTTAAATAAAAGCAAAAGATCTCAAATTACGTTTTTAAGATTTTAGATCAAGCAGACCAGCAAAGACCGTTTGCGAATTGCCCAGATTACTGTAGACCGTCTCGCGAGGGCGAAAATCCACTCGGGACCCGGCCCGCCCCGCCGAGGACATTCTTTGTCCCAAATTTGGCGTTTTTTTGTGTGTGTTGACTTGCTCGCGCCGGTTCCACCCCACAACCACTATCCCTCCTCTTCTACCCCCCGGGATTATTCGATGATCCGGAGGGGGGTGGCCTGCAGGGGTTGAAGGTGTACCAGTTCTACCTCTCTCTCACTCTCTCTCTCTCTCTCTCTCTCTCTCCACCCTATTCAAAAGCCCGACCCGTCCACCGTCCACGGCCGATTTGCGCCCTCGGCCCGCCGCGTTCCATTCAGCTTCTAACCCCAAATTTTTAGTTTACGGTTGGGCGGGCTAGCAGAGATTCTTTAGGAAGGGCTACGAGGCGGTGGAACTCAGCTAGAATTTTTAAGCATAACCCGGATTTTTGAGGAAATTGAAGGAAGGCTAGCAGCGAACGTTGAGGAAATTGGTGCCAATCTAGCGGAGATTATGTTGGAAATTCAGTAAAAACATGCAGAAACTCTTTAGAAACTAGAGGCAGACCAGCAGCGATCCTTGAGAAAATCGAGGCTAGGATAGCAGAGCTTCTTTAAAGGACGGTCGCAGTCTAGCACAAACTCTAATAAAATGAGCACCAGCTAATGAAATTGGACTTTAGAGTCTGGGGAAATTTTTTAGGAAATTCGTGGCACGTGATGTCGCAGCTTTCTCAGGGCAAGCTAGCAGAGATCCCGAGGAATCTTGTAATTTTGAGATTTTGAAAATTAAGAAGAGCTTTGAAAAAATAGGTTTTTGCTATTTTTAGAAATTAGAAAATTATAAACCAATTTTAATTGATCGTTTTTATGTTTTTATTTCGTGTTTTTTGCGACTGTTTTTTCGAAAAAACAATGAACTTTTTGCAGGGTATGCGAACGGTGTTGGTACTTGGATGGGTGCTGGTTGGAGTGACAGCCGGCCAGTATGACCCGGATTGCAAATGGAGGGATAATGTGACCTGTGGGTTGTCGAGACTGGATTCCCCCCATGCAACTGTCATCACGGTTTATGTGGGAAAATACTGGGCTGGGCAGCGGGGTAGCCGTAACTGGACCTTAGAAGCTGGCAAGGGCCGGCTATACCTTTAAAGGGGCAGTGACAGCAGCGGCCAAAACCTAAATGAACGCTAAAAAATTAATTTTTAACTAAGAAGCGCTAAAGCAGAAAATAACGACAAAACTCGGCTTGAAAGTTTATCAGAATGGCTTTAAACCGCTAAATTGAAATGTTTATCGTGGTAAAATACCGACTAGAAGAATACCGACACGTCGAGATGTTTTTTATACTTTTCATTTCGGAACTATGATCGGCATTTTTAAACTTCAGTAACGATAAGATCTCGACATTTTGCGTGAGTCCATATTCTGGCTTGTCGGTATTTTTGCAAAAATTCAAATTTTTCCAATGTTTGACATCTTGTTAGGAGCCGCCTTCTGTAGTTTCGGGAGTTTCGGTTCATCGGCCTTTTTTGGATTGTCGGTATTTTTAGGTCTTGGCATCGTATGCTTGTCATGAATTTTTAGAACGGCTATCTGGGCTGCAGTTTAAACCAAAAGTCGAAGAATCATGTTATCACTTTGTCGGCATTTATTTAACGGGCGACTTCTTGAAGCCGTTCAGCGGCAATTCAAACCTCTTCCGGCCATTTTTTTCGGTATTTTAAACCTTAAGAACGATGCCTTCTCGGCAAGCAACGGATTTGTCGGTATTATTATATCGTTCAACAATACGCTTGTCAGCGTTTTAGGACAAATCTGAAAATTTAAGTCTATTTTAAGCCGATTTTTCGATATTCTAGTCCTCAAAAAAAAGACGGTCGATCCGTGCCCGCGACCGGTTATTCATTGCTTGCCCACCCCCCAAGTCGAGCCCCCCTATTCATTTCCGCGTGGTCCGCCGAGTGCCTTGACTGACCATTCCTCTTTTCCAATTCTTTTATCGAAAGCGTCGAAAGGGGATCCCTCCCTGTCCTTCTGGGTCTTCTCAGGACAAACAGGGCCCACCTCTGGTTGGGTCCTTTTGAGGGGAAAGGACCCAAACAAACCCACAGTCACTGAGAATACAACAGCATAAAAAAGGGAGTGCAGCAAGAACATATTCTTCTGTAAACAAACGTGAAATGGAATTTTTTGCGCTAACGGGAAGTGTGGGAACGAGAAGCACAGTTTTAGAGACAGCGGCACGGAGCCAAAAAACCTAAAGAATCCGGATCTTTTTTCAGGCCGTTAAGGATGCTTTAGCTTGTTAATACGGCATGGCGCACCCATCGAAAACGTTTGATTTTTTGGATTGTAAAGAAAAGCTATTCTAAAAATAAAGGCCATACTCGAAAGATTTCATGAATTTTCATAAGTGGTAATGGCTTAATTCAATAGAATAGCTATTAATGCTTTATTTAAAAAAATATGGGGTAGTAATTAGTTGAAACGACGGAAAAAGTAAATATAAATCATGAAAAATCGTAAAAATATTATCAAGGCCATTTTTAAATGCTTTTTGGGGTAAAACCGAAGGAAATCTAGGCTACGGTGTAAAAAAGTATCAGGTTGGAACGAAAGTTCTGTCGCCGAGATTTTGGAAGGCTGGCTAAAATCGTAGATAGCTCCATTCTGGACATGCGATATGTCATTTTGTAGGTCTTGGTCTGAATGGTTCCGGGAGGAAAGTCCTAGACCCCCAAAACCAAGAACGGCCGAGATACAGGCCCAAGAAGATTTTTCAAAAATTACGAAAAAGTGTTTTTGCAAGTTATCTCTACATAGAGACATTTACATGCGATACCTTTAACGCCAATCGATGGCTCTCGAGGAGTAGATATCGATAGATGTTGAGATCATCAAAATTGGACACTGGATGGCCGAGATATGGCCTCTTGAAATTTGGCTCATTTCTTAGAACTTTTCTCGATTTCCCATACATTTTTTCAAAAACCGCTCCGCTAGTCCAAAAATAAAGCGGTAATTTTTGGCACCTGTCCGTCAAATGTTTGGAAATGTATGGGAAATCGAGAAAAGTTCTAAGAAATGAGCCAAATTTCAAGAGGCCATATCTCGGCCATCCAGTGTCCAATTTTGATGATCTCAACATCTATCGATATCTACTCCTCGAGAGCCATCGATTGGCGTTAAAGGTATCGCATGTAAATGTCTCTATGTAGAGATAACTTGCAAAAACACTTTTTCGTAATTTTTGAAAAATCTTCTTGGGCCTGTATCTCGGCCGTTCTTGGTTTTGGGGGTCTAGGACTTTCCTCCCGGAACCATTCAGACCAAGACCTACAAAATGACATATCGCATGTCCAGAATGGAGCTATCTACGATTTTAGCCAGCCTTCCAAAATCTCGGCGACAGAACTTTCGTTCCAACCTGATAGTAAGAAACCTGACAAATGAGCATAAATATGCAAATTTCCCTCCTTTCAGCCGTCGACGAGATTGCCCACCACAAATACCAGGTGCTGGAGGACTGCCTCTACTACAAATTGAGCCGAGATGCCGATAAATTGCAAAGTGGGTTTTCTTGGAGACTTTTTGACCTTTTACCAGGAAAAGGCCAAAATCGACCGGGCCAGAATCCCGACAGCCAGAATGCCGACAGCAAAAATACCCCCAACCAGAATTCGGTAGTCAAAATAGCGACATGCAAATAGCTGTTGAGAAAAAGTAACATTCAGAGGTCAAAAATTTGTCAGGATTTTGAGCTGCCGGAATTTTTTCTTTCGGGGATTTTGGCTGTCCGGACTTTGAGTTGTCTGCATTTTCGCCGCCGGCATTTTGGCTATCCAAAGAAACTACACAACCCATAGCCAATAAACTCCATAACCATACCTTGCTAGCCCCTTTAAAATGGCCAATTCTATCGTTCGAACAACTAATTTGAATCTAGGCAAGGGCAACGCTCTGATGCTACTGCCGCCGACAGTGGCCGCCGGGGAGACGCTCGATTTGGAGATCATGGATGTGCAGCTCCGCCAGATGTGGATTGTAAGTAAAGCAGCATCACGGAATCCACTGCCTGTTTAGAATGAGGTCTTCAAGGAGATGAACATGAACGGCTACATTAATTTGGTAGGTTTTTTCCGGCGTGTTGGTTTCCTTGGCGATTGGCTGAAAAAAAGGCTTATGAATTCCGGCTTCATGGTGCCCTTAAATTGAAAATTTTTGGCTTTTTTCTAGTCGTGGAAAGACCGGCGACTCCGCTGGGATCTCGGCGACTACAAGACCGACAACATCAACATCAAGAGCTTTGGCAAGATTTGGGTGCCGGACATCAACTCCGTCAAGTAAGTCATAAAACTAAGCTAAGCATAGACGAAATATAAGCTACGCCTAAGCTAAGTCCAGCTTAAGCTAAGCCAAAGCCAAGCCAAGCTAAAGCTAAAGCTAAGCCAATCGTAAGCTAAGCCTGAGCGAAGTCAAGCCTAAGCCAAGACTAAGCTAAGCCTAAGCAATGCCTAAGCCCAAGCCTAAGCCAAACTAAGCTAAGCCTAAGCAATGCCTAAGCCAAGCCTAAGTTAAGAGAAGTCTTTCCCAGGACTTCATACAAATTCCCTGCTTTCAGCTACCAAACCGCCTCCTCCACCAGCGACTACACCTCATACCAAGGCATCAATGCCAAGTACACCGGCAACATCACCGCCCGACTGGAATTCCGGATGCAGGCGGAATGTCAGGTCGACTACTCCGATTTCCCGAATGTGAGTAGATGATCATGGAGTTTAGGGGTCAAACTTTAGGATGTGAAGCACTGCTGCTTCAACCTGCGTTCCTCATTATACAAATACTACATAAAATACTTCCTCATCGGCTCGGAGCAGCTGAACGTCGACAACTTGAGGACGAATTGGCACATTGCCGACTCGTGGATTAAGAAGACGAATCAGGATGGCGATATTAAGTGGGTTATTGATCTGTTCTCTCTCTCTCTCTCTCTCTCTCTCTCTCTTTTTCTCTCTCTCTCCCGCTCCCTCTCGCTCTCCCTCTCACTTCAAACTTCCAGGGCTGAACAGCTCGAAGTCTGCGTCACGGCCCGCCGCAAGTCCTCCACCCTCTCCATCGAGCTCCTCGTCCCAGTCACCGTCTCGGCCCTGTTGCTGATCATTGCCCCATTCTTCGGCAAGTTCAAGGAGCAGGTCAGCTGTTTATATACATTACTGACAGAGTCAAATCTTTTTTTTAGATTCATGTGAAGATGTTCTCCCTTCTGATCCAGTTCCTCTCCTTCCAACTGCTGGTGAACAAGACGCCGCAAGTTGGATTCGGGGAGCACGTGCCAAAGATTTGTAAGTGAATTTTTGGCTATACTAGGTGAGTAATCCCTTCAGACGTCTTCTACGCGTTCACCCTGTCGATGACCATCATCTCCTTAATTATTACTGTCATCATTGCGGCTATCGCCAGAGTGCCGAGGAAGTTGCCGCCAGGTTAGTAGAAAGCGAGAGAGAGAAAGAGAGCGAGAGAGAGAGAGAGAGAGCGAGAGAACGAGAGAAAATAATTTTCAGCGCATCGCTACACCCTCCTTGCCAACGTCCTCAACGCCAACATCTGCTGCGGCATGGAGGAGACCCCGGTCACCGATGGCACCTCGACAAAGGTGGGAATTTCTGCCTTCAATGTTTTGCATCCCCAGTCCTGTTTTCTCTCGCTCTCTCACTCTCTCCATCTCTCTCTCTTTCTCTCTCTCTCTCTCTCTCTCTCTCTCCCTCTCCCCCTGCCACCCTCCCTTTAAAAGCCTCTCCTTTTTCAGGACACAGCCGCTGACTGGCTCCAAATCCACGTGGCCGTCAACAACCTGGTAGCGCTGTTCGTGCTCCTCTTCTATGTCATCGGAGCTATCGTCATCATCTGCTAATTCCCACACTCTCTCTGCCCTCTCTCCATTCTCTGTGATCCCTCCACCCGTGTCTCTCTTTTCTCTAGTCCCTCTACAACACAACACTCATCACACACACCGACTGTGCTTTAATCGATACGGTATCCCCCCATATCACTCCGCTTGTATACATCTTTACACTTACATCCCGCGTGTGTTTCAGCTTTTATGTATATTTTTTTGAGTGCTGGTATAAAGGACTTCCTGAAAAACCGAGATTATCGAGTTGGGTTACTGTCATTTTAAAGGGACTGGGAAGGGTGGAATCAATGGATCGGTCGAGGCCAACAAAGAACCCGGTCAGATCAACCCCAAATGACGCTCAGATTTGTCGTACAATACCGTATGGCGCCGTACTACACTGACTGAGTACGGTGGCTTAGGTGCTCAAGTGTAGTGGGAAAAATCAAGGTTCAAAATGCCAATTTATCGATCTTTTTTTATTATTTCAATCCAAAAATAAACGTTTTAGCCGGCTAGTGCCAAAAGTGTCACATATTTTTACAAAAATAACCGTTTTGAAGGCCCAAAACAGAAACGCCGGTTTCCAAGGCCCAGTTTGTCCGACTTTGCAACTACTAAAGCCCGCCTGGTGGCTGAAATGTGTCCAATTTCCCGAGAGCAGCAGCAAATACCTCTCTCTCGCTCTCTCTCTCTCTCTCTCTCTCTCCTCTCTCACTTGCTCCACATGTGTTTGACTCGAATTCCGCTCGCATCCATTTAACGGAATGGCCAGGCTAAGGGGGAAAGAGTTGTTGTGTTCGACTGCGCTCTATCAAAGTGGGCAGCGGGGAGGGGATGTTTTCCCCCTGCACACACACGCTGGCTTTTCGGTTGTGGGGAGAGAAGGGCTTTTTATATTTCTCGCTCGCTCTCTCTCACTTGTGTACAGAAAACGCGCCAAGCTGACCGGCGTCCCAGCCCCCAGCTCCCGCAAATTCGCACTGACACCTGCGTGTTTTTGAAGCTTCTCCCTTTTCAAAGCCAATCCTAAGCCTACTTGACCTGACTTGGCTTGGAGCGACCATGAATGTGTTTATAGACGTACCTCTGGCCGTTCCCCAAGCGTATATGCTAGCTATCCTCATGGACCTAACCGATTTTGAAGGCTTTTGAGGAGTATAGAAGCCGTTTAAGGCCGATTCGAAGCTGACTTGTCTGACTTGCGGGCGGGTTAGCTAAGGGCAGCTATTAATGCGCTTCAAGGCATACATCAAAGCATTTTCCTGAACCGTCTTTGCTAGTTACCCCACAACGGAATCGAGGCCTTTCCGCGATTTCCAAGTAAACAAGCCATTTCAAGCCACGTTAAAGCCAACCTAGCGTATCTTGAAGCTTTTTAGGCTAGCTTCAACCTCAGCTTTAGCCTCATCTTTTCCAACCCTTTCCAAAAACAAATAATAAATATCGCGGGGAGGGCCAGGTGCGGTGAGGCCCTTATCTACGCCAGTCAGCCCCCAGCCAGACCTCCCCTTTCATGTGACTCACATTTCAATGGCGCGACTGCTTTTCTATATTGTTTTTCGGGTTTCCTGCCTTCCCGCCGGAAGTTGGCATCTGGGAGCTAGAATTTCGCCTTCCTAGCTCCTTTAAAATAGATATGTATCGCGGTTTTGGTTGAGGAGATGTAAAGAATTCTGTGGTTACCGGAGCCCTAAACAAACTCATCCTACTCTAATCCTTTGCATTGATGTATATTTGTCATTTTTGTGTTTAAAATTTAGCCATTTTCAATACAGTATTACTCAGAAATCTTTTTATTACTCATTATTATTCCTGGATTGCCGGAAATTCGAGAAGAAATCGAGAGTTTTGTTTTTCGGCCCGAATCCACGATTCGTCAATTGGGGGCAGCTCCTGAATCAGAATCGCTTTCAGCCAAAGAAGGGCTTTTTCCAGAAGAGAAAAAGCCGATTCTCTCCCCTTGTCGATCATCGATTCTGGGCTGTTGCCTGGCTGGCCCACACCAATCCACCCGTCCAGATGCTTTTCCCGCCCGCATTGCAACGCCTCGATTGTACGAGCTTGCTGGGAGGCTAAAAAATTATTTTTGTTTTTGGGTGTTTTCGCCAGATATTTTTGTGCTTGTTTTAAAGGAGCTGGCAAGCGAAAGGTTTCCATGCTTCCCATGGAATTTTGCAAACAATAAAATCTGTCCGAAATAGAAACTACCGTAATTTTTGAGAAATCAGTTGCATGCGGTAGTTAGGCTTATCCTGGTTTGGTGCAAATTTTAATCTATAGGCCATCTTTCGCTTCCCGGCCCCTTTAAAAGCGAGCGAGGGACGGTACGTAGAGTTACCTTATATTTGGGGCTACGGTACCTTGAGCTACCGTATATTTGGACTTCCTAGTGCGTTTCAAACATTGGGCTACGGTAGATATTGCCGTCCACGTGCCTTTAGAAGTACATTCGCTAGGGTATATCTGGACTTCCCAGCCCCTTTAAAATCCGATGACGATACTGTATTTTAAGATTTTTGAAAATTAGCTCTAGATACCTTTTCACTTCTCAGCTCATTTAAAAGCGATTGAGTGACGGGATTCAGATATCTCGGTGTATCGTGCCTTTCTGGTCCCTTTAAAAGTACGTTAGGGTACGGTGGCCAAGTCCAACCGGAATATACTATACTTATCGGTCCTTCAAAATCCGGATGCCGTGATATACAGCTACAGTTGACTTCCAAGTCCCTTTAATAAGCCGCCAGGATACGGTAATCACGTCTACCTTTCTATCTTGCCTTCCCAGCCCCTTTAACCACCAATTTCCGCCACGCTCCAGTAAACACACACAGCTAATCAATGGCCTCAAATCACTCAAAAAGGGAGCCCGATGGGGGGGGCAACTGTTTACCTTCTCCCCGCCACCGGCCGTCAATGCCAATTTGTACTCGTTGCTGCTGTGGCCGGGTTCGGAAAACAAAACAAGACGCTCCAGTTTTTCCCCCGGAATCGATACCGTTAAATTTTCCTGATGTACCCAGAATTTTCAATTAGCAGGTCTGGTTTCGCTTAGGCTTGGCTTAGGCTTGGCTTCGGCTTGGCTTAGGCTTGGCTTAGGCTTGGCGTAGGCTTGGCTTAGGCTTGGCTTAGACTTGGCTTCGGCTTAGCTTAGGCTTAGCGTAGGCTTAGCGTAGGCTTAGCTTAGGCTTAGCTTCGGCTTAGCCTAGGCTTAGCTTCGGCTTAGCATTGTCTAAGCTTAAGCTTAGCCTAGCTTAGGCTTAGCCTTGTTTTGAGCTTGGCTTTGCCGTACTTGGCTACGGGCAGCCTTGGGTTTGGCTTAGGCTTACTGTAAAGTGTTTTTACTCAGGCTGGCGTTTTAGGATGGGAACAAGCCTATCTTGTTCAGAATTTTTTGCTGATTCGGAATCCGTTTTCCAAATTTGCTGCGGACTTCACGTTGAAAAGTCATTTTTGGTCTAGATTAAGCTTAAAAACGGCATAAATTCGGATACTGGCCCACTATTCCCTGTCTGGGTCCAGGTTTTGGTGTGCCCCTTATCTACCCTCTTGAAGCCCCCTTCCCAGTTGGCACCATGGTGCATTGGTAAGCTGTTCGCCTGCCAGGGACAGGGCGGCGGTTCGGTCCCCGCCCTGCATAATTTCTTTTGCTTTTTGCACAAAAACATATGATTTTTTGCATAAAATCGTGCTTTGCCCTCTAAAACCATTACCGAGCCAGTTTTAACGTCGGAGGTGACGACAACTTAAAAAAATAACGCAAAAAATCCAAACTTAGTCAATTTTTTAGCCTAAATGTCGAATAACTTTTTAAATAAAGGTCGACAGCAAATTTGGAAACCAGATTCTGAATCAGCAAAAAATTCTGCACAAGATAGGGTTGGTCCCATTCTAAAACGCCAGCGTGAGTAAAAACACTTTACAGTTAGCATTGTCTTGGCTTAGGCTTAGCCTTGGTTTGGGCTTGGCTTAGCCCTATCTTGGACTCGGGCAGCTTAGGCTTAGGTTAGCCTTAGGCTTTGCTTCGGTTACCAGTCCCAGATGCCGGAAAACAGTTGCTTTGTGGTGTTTTGGCGCCCATTTCCGCCCCATTCCCCGCGTTTCCGACCCCTTTCTCAAGGCCGCTCTATCTCACAGCCGTTGGCTCAAATTTGAATTTCAATTCCAGGACCTTTAAAGGGATACCCAAGGTTTTGGCGGCAAATATATAGTTATGTATTCCGGGCATTACAACCAGGGGCGTAGCCAGAAAAAAATTTCGGGGGCCCCGAGAATTTTTTTCCAAAAAACTCAAAACATTGCGGAAAAAACAGCGGCGCAGGCAAAATTTTTGAAAACAAGGTTACATAGCTCTACAAATAGCCGTAAAAACGTGACAAAATAGCGCCGCAGGCAGCAAAATTTCTGAGAAAATCAAAATCATAAGGGTCCCCCCTTATGAAATTTTCGGGCCCCGGCCGATTTCGGGGGGCCCGGGCCCCCGGGGCCTGTATTACGCTACGTCCCTGATTACAACTGACGCGCAAATTTCGTGCGGTAAAGGAGGGCCCATTGCCGCACACAGATTCGGACCCTTTCCCACTTGTGGCGTCCCCATCCCACCCAATGGCTTGCCACTATGGCCTAATGGATAGCATCCAGGTCTATAAAACGGGGGTCCCGGGTTCGACGCCCGCCCGCGGAATGGTTTTTGCTTTTTGAGCTCCGGAAAGGTTGGGCATCCCTTTAAGGCGTTTTTCAAGGTGTTTAAAACCACTCCTCTTATTTCGTAAATTTACCCTATGTTTTGTCTATTTTTGCCCATTCAGAAAACACGCCAAGATGGTGATGACCCATTGCTGCTGCTGCAGCGTCATCGTGAGTATTTCTATGGAATTTTTAGCGCAAGAAAATACGAGAATTCTAAAGTAAATTTAAAAATCCATACAAGGCTCGGCGACCAATCCCGTGACGAATTGGTAGTGTGTTTGCCTCCCAAGCACACGGCCCAGGTTCGACCCCGGCCGGTGCAAATGCCGGTCCTTTTGGCTATATAGCCAGATACCTGAAATAATAAGTTAAATAGCATAATTAATCCATTTATAATTTAGGTATGGTGCTACGTGTTCTTGTTCTTCGACGGCATCGCCGGCCTGCTCTTCGCCGTCAAGCACTTTGACCTCAATTGGTACGTAATCGGATTAAGAATTGGTATCTTAAAGAGGTCGATTTACCTGTTTAATTTACGTTTAAAATTCCATATATAGAACTTCACTAAAACACCATAAATCGCTATAAATGCCTTTAAAAATTAAAATTTTAGGTTTGACCTGAAGGAGCGCGCGCAAGGAGCGCACTGGGATGTGATGGGAGGAGGTGAGAAAAAGTTTTGTATTCAAAAATCAGTCCCTTAATTGGATTCAAGCGGAACAAAGCAGGCTATAGAAGAGAGAGTGAGAGAAAGACCCCAAAAATTTCTCTTATTTTCAGGAAAATGCATGGATCTCGGCCTTGGCTCCATCGGCATCGCCATCGAAATGAGCTTGCTGGTGATCGTGGCCATCGCCTTCGTCGGTCTCTGCCTCCGAAAGTCGCTGCTCCTCCTCCCCTACCTTATCTTCAAGGTGTGTCTTAAGAGCGTTAAGTTCATACGAGCAGGAAACTCGAGGTTAAGCTCCGAAAATCCTAGAAAATTTCACAGAATCTGCTTTTTAGCTTCTCATCGTCGGGTTGACCATCTACATGCTCGTGCAGTACAGCCTCCACTACGATCAGTGCAAGAGTGAGTTCTCTCTTTCTCGCACCCTCTCTCTCTCTATCTCGCTCTCTCTCTCTCTCTCTCCTCTCTCTCTTTCTCACCAATAACTATCATTTCAGCCCTGCTGTTCGCCAGCATCGTGGCCCTCCTGTTCAGTCTGATGACTTACTCAGTGGTGCTGAACGCATTCCGCGTCATCAAATACCAATATCATGAAGTGGCTGGCGGACGCTATCCTTAGATAATGCCGTAATACCGTAATCTACCTATTTAATGCTTCTTTCTATACTATCCCATGTTCTTTTCAAAAACATATCCTCCGGTTTGATATATGTTGTACCCGTGTGGCAATAAATATTTCTTTTTTGGCGAAAATCAAGACAGCGAGAGACAGCGAGAGAGAGACAAGAGAGTGAGAAAGCTAGGGCGATAGCGCGTGAGAAAGAGAGAGAAAGAGAGAGAGAGAGAGAGAGCGAGAGAGAGAGAGCGAGAGAGAGAACACATTGTTTAGAAAATTCGAATCTAAAATTCATTATTACAGGGTGCGGAGAAAGTTTTCGGCGGGGCAAATAACTCTGTTACTCGAAACCTAGAGGTTTATACAGATTTTTTGGATTCGAGGCTGGAAAGTGAAGACTCATGCATCATATTTCACGACTGGAATACCCAAATTCAAAGATTTTACGCGATTAGAACGACCGAAACGATCATCTTAGAAACGCCCCCGGCACGCTGCTGTTTCGTTGATGTTACATACCCCCTGTGAGCTATCCATGGTCAAAAGGCACAAAATTTTGCAGAGATGTTGTCAGAAATGTGGTCTATCTTTCTACAAAATCTCAAGGAATTTTGATTCAATCCCAAAGAGTTGTGACGCTTCTAATTTTGGTGAATTTTTGGTCGAGATGGGAAATCTCCTGCCAGTAATCACAAAATCCGAAGAGAACGGCCTTGCTAATGGGATTTAGCGTACGGATATTCTTAAACAACACCCTTAAATTCAAAAACAAAAACGATGCTTGAAACCAACGCTGGAAACAGCTTTTAGGCGGTGCTGAACATTCTAAAGCCTTGGCCGCTGCCGCCTTTCAGAGAATTCAGCCATGTCTGTTGTCAAAGCAATAATATTGATATGGAATAATGCTAAGGGGTTGTTATATGATAATCCGTAAGCTCGGAAGCCTGGTGGTCTGCTACGGAAAATTTTAACCGCGCTTTCTATATCGGCCAAATGGTGGTCAATTTCGAAACTCGCCTGCGCATCGGTGTTCCGAGCTCGGTTACTTTAGCCGAGCACTTATTAAAAAACTTTGGCTCGTGAAATCGGATGAGAATTGTCCCAATCTATCATGACACCACAAAAAATGTAATCGAAACGCTCATCTTGACAAATCTTTTTCATAAAAGGTGCGCCGCCGAAAACTTTTTCCGCACCCTGTAGTCGTCTTTTTAGGACTTCAACGTGGATTTTTTGCCAATTCTTCGAACTATACCCTCGCATCGGTATGCAAATCACCCCCCCCCTTTATTGACTCTAGCCACCCCCTGGAATAGGCAAGAGCTGATCTCCCCCCGGCGGGAGGTCGGTTCCTCCCAGGAAAGGACCCACCCAGAGGAATTGGGTCATATTTATCCACCGTTGCGCCATTCGTGGCCCATAGCCTCGGTGTGGATCAAGCCCCATCCGATCTGCTAATGTTTGCCCCATTACCGTAGCCGGGTCCTTAAGCCAGTGCCGTGGGGGGTAAGGTGAGGCTGGGCAACCTGTTTCGCTGGTTGTCAGGTGGTTTCTGGATTGTTTTAGAATATTTTGAGGGCTAGGGCGGTTTGAAAAAATTGTTGTATGTCCTTGGAAAAACTACGGTAAGACACGCAACACGGCGTTTTTTTTTTGCATTGCGTAACGGATCTGGCGCGTGACGCCTGGATCTGGTGGTACCAATTTCACGCACGTTTTACCGTACCGTCGCGCATTTTTCAGTTTTTTTTCTGAAAAATTTCGGTTCTTTCCATAACTTCTGTTAGTTCCTCGCGCCCTCGCACACCCCTTTAAAGCACAGTATCTCTTCCCATTTTCACCTTATCAAAAATTTTTTCGTGCTCCCCAATAACCCCCGCTAGCTTGCCCCCGACCCCCGGGGCCCAGTGAAAGAAGGGAAAATATAGAAAAAGTGCGTTGGGCAGTCTGGGTGGTGCGAGCGGGTCGACCGGGGCGTTGTGGCTCTCGGGCTATTTGCTCAGCTTCCACTGCCAGGAGACCTCCCTTTTTCCACCCGCCTAAAAGTCGATGGCCGGCGCGAGTATTTTCGAAAAAACGGCGTATGGATCGCAACATGCAGAGGGGGTCGTAAAAAATGAGAGTGTACATCGATTTTTGAGCCAATTTGGATGCGTCCTGAAGGTTACAGCCCAATATTGCTGAACAGCTACAAGATGTTGGGCGTGTTCGGTGAGGATCTGAGCCTAAGCACCTATGCACAGCATAACATGAGCATAACCTCTGTTCATCTTAGCTTTTATTGCGAGGCGGAGATGAACGGCTTGAACTTGATGGGGGATCTAACGCACTCGAGCTTGCTGTAATACCTCGCGCTTGGACTTGTAGCAGAAGCTCGAGCCGGAGAGGCAAAGCTTGGGAGAATCAAGCCACCAAAGCCAGCCAAATCCAAAGCAACAGCAAGACGTAGTTGATCATTAGCAATTTCCGAAAGCGCGTGCGCATGGCGAGTTGTAGCATGGCTGAGTCCTTGGATGCGACAACGCGCTCAGCTATGCCAACATCTTGCCTCGCGCCACACGATTCTTGAAGGCGGGCAGAGGGGATGGAGATGAACAAGGATTCAAGCAGTTCAGAGTGATTTTAAAACGAAAAAATGTCAAGAAAGCCGAACTCCGCTATGCTACTTCACTGGAAAATGTGCACCCTTAAAAAAATTTTTTTAGGAAAATTTCTAGGCACTGACAACACTTAATAAACTCCATATTATGTCATAGTCCTGTTAATCCCCTAGTTGCCTTTTTGCGAGCGAGGCTTGAACTTGTCGAAGTTGTTGGTACATCCGCTTTGACGCAAAAAACGCTTCAGGCGTCTAATTTCTCTAATCATCACCTTTAATTGTCGATGGAAGCTATGTGTACATATAAAAATTTCAGGTAACTTTTAGGCAAAAATATAGCCGAAATATTTCGAAAACGTCATCACCGAAGTGTCCCGGAATAGCCAAAAAATCAGTTTCCTACCGTTCCATCGATCCAAATTTTAGGACAACAATACGGTGAAGAGTACGGTGGATCTGGGACGGGTGAGTAGATAGGGGTGAGTAAATAGGTAGAGGTAGAAGAGGATAGTGAGGTAGGGGTTGGCCCTCTGCAGGGGGGTGGAGAAGGGTCAGTCAGTGGGCCCCCTCACCTTCTCCGGGTCCCCGCCCACATTCTATGTTTGTATTTGACGACCAGAAGAGGAGGAGGACGACGTCGACCCGGAGAGAGAGAGAGAGAGAGAGAGAGAGAGAGAGAGAAAGAGAGAGAGAGACGGACGTTGACTGACTAACTGACCGACCGACCCATCAATAAATTCTCGCTAACTGACGGGGCTGACCGTTGGCGGAGGATAAATATAGGCACACCAGAATACCCACAACCTACCAAACGAAAAAACTGGTTTCGCAACGTGAGCAGAAGGTCTGGGTGTCCAGAGGAGCCCCGCGTAGCCGGCGGGTTCTGAGCGTTAACTAACTCGTAGTGCCGTTTTAAAGGGATGGCGCCAGCAGACTGGTCTTTAAAAAATTTAAAAAATCTAATTCTTAAAAACTTAAAAAGTCTAATTTAATAGAACCTGACGCTTTAGTAGCGCCAAAATGACCCAAAACCAAACCCAAATTCTCAAAAAACCCAAGCTAGCATTCCCCGCGCCTTGCTAGGGGCAAAAACATCTCTACTAACCAGGATCTAGCGAAAAAGCTGTGAATGCTATGACTTGCTAGGCCCTTTAAAATTGTCCGTATCCAAGGAATAACTTTGAACTTTTTTCTAATGGAAAATCTAGTGTAATTTAGGCTTTTGTGGTTTTGAAACGTACATCGCCTACCGACTACAGTAGCATCTGTCCTTTAGACTGTCAAATACCGACAAGGTTTCAAAATCCAAAAGGTAAGGTGCAAAATCTGATGGTTCTCATGACTTGCTGCATCCTTTAAAATGCTCATCCTTAACGGCGTTAGAAAAATGTTACATATAGCACCCATTGTTTGTGCTCGAAAATCGCGAAAAGGTGTAAAAATGCCGGGGGCAATTTTTGTGGCAGCCTTTGCACGTCACAATATTGTTATTGAATTCCGCTGGACTCCTCTTAACAAATGCCAGGATGACACATGACCAGTGATTTATTGTGTAGTTGTGTGTGGGAGAGCTGCCAACCCGTGGCCGTGCTTCGATTCATCGACTCACCATCCCCTCGTCGACTCGCCGTCCTGAGGGGGATTGCGGAAGAGACTGTCTGTCTGTCTGTGTGTCTGTTTGTATGATGTGTACTCAGTACTCGGTCGTACCGGCCTCGCACTGTCTATCCTTCCCCCTTTCCTCTTGTGGGTTGTCTCCGCTTTGGGGCCCGCGGTTGGCCAGGGCACCACCAGCAAGACCGGTGGATTCGTCGGGAGGTGGGAAATTTGGAAATCAGAAGTTCAAGATTGAAAATGAAACTGCAGCCGTCCGCGCTGCGTGTTCAAACCGTGTCCTGTCCTCAGCAAAATCTACAAAGAAAAAACGCCGAAAATCCCGGACCATCCCGTTAAATACGATTTATTACACACCGGCTATCACAAAGGGATTTTGGGGTCAACAATTTGATTTTATCATTTTTTTAGGTTTTAAAAGGATGGGACCACAAATTTCCATTGCTGTCACCATCCCTTTAAAGCCGATATTACGGTATGTAAATATTTTCCAGCCGACTAGACGATGGACTAGTTTTGATCATTGCGGTATTTTTGAGATTCTTGGGGCATAAATGCAAGGGTGGAACTTGGATTTAAAGGGGATTAAATGAGATGGGGGGGGGGCTAGGATATGCTACGGTACGTAGGCATACTGCTGACGGGCGGCGCCATGGGGACACTCGTGGTCCCAGAGGCGATTCTCGCCCAAGTCGATGACACGGACGCCTTCGGAGAAGCGGACCTGAAGATGAGGGTAGAGAGATGAGAGTGAGAGAGAGAGAGCTAGAGAGAGAAAAAGAGAGAGAGAGAGAGAGAGAGAGAGAGAGAGGAGAGCAGCAAAACCAACCTCAAGCCTAATCTTCTCCAGTCTAACTTTAGTGTTCGGGAAGCAAAGCTCGTTCGCGCTTTCCCAATAGGTCTTTGCAGCGTGCTTCGGGCAACAGTCATCCTAAAACATAGTTTAATGCACTGTAAAGCGCACCAATGGTTAAAGGATCTCTGCTAGCCTGCCTTGCGAGAATTCACTGTTTTTGCTAGCCTGCCCTCGCTCAAAAACACCCCTTTAACCCAACTGACCTCTTGCGAGAACGATTCATAGCAGCATCGACTGAACTTGTCGGTCGGAGTATCCCCATCCGATTGGCTCTCGTCTTGGCAGCACGCGAACCGGGCCTACACTTGTTTTATGATTTTAAGTTTGGTTTAAATGAAAAAAAACGGGATCAAAATAGCTTCAAGAAATCTCCAGACCTGCAAAAATTTTTGCATACAACACAGCTGGATGGTTGAATTGGAGCATTTGCCGGGGACGCATAGGTCGGTGAAATAGATCCGTTTCGTGCAGCATTTCGAGATGTGCTCGGCGCCGATTTTTTCTTGCTGAAAAGGATGTAGACGTTCAAGTGACCCAAAAGGGAAGGTCTCGATGCAAAAAAATGGGCTGTCGTTCGCTGAAATAGACCGACAGCTACAGCACGACACGTTACGCTTCTGAGCAATCAAGCACGCTGCCAAAAACGGAGCCGGCTACGGTGGTGGAGTACGTAACGTTACAACGTTACGCAAGAGACGAAAAGGAGCACACTTGCAAGGAAGGGGTTTTTTCAACTTTTTGGGCGTTATTTCTGCCATCTACCGTACCTGATGATAGCAGACGTCATCCGTATATGCCGAGCACGGGATATTCTCTTCGCCCATCATCTCGAAATTCCTGACCGGCTCCGGGGTGATGGCGAAGGTGGGCGGCGGGGAGGCCCACCACGGTTGCAGGCTCGGCTTTGGGATTTGAGTCTGAAAACATCGGGTTACGGTAGCCCTCCGTCTAATTTCCGCATAGATTTTGAAGGGTTTTTGTGCATCCAAGGCGTCCATTTCTGTCGCCACACCTTTAAAAATCTCTCCAGGGCCCGTATTAACTAGCGATTGAGGTATATTTGAGTAGTAGACAGGCGAGAGAGAGAAGAGAGAGAGCGAGAGAGAGCGAGACCCTCGCCCCGAAAGGCCGGCCGTCAAGTTTGTTGCCCAAACAGTCGGAGGTTGACCCCTGGGCCCCGGGGCGGCCATCGGAAGGAAGGAAAGACCTCAAAGATCGACCCCAAAAACGGTAGATTTATTTGCCTAGAGAAGGAGGAGGTGCGGCCCCGGGCCTTAATGGGTGGGTGGTCAATCAAAAGATCTACATTTTACTAGCCTAAAATAATTGCAATGAAAAAATAAAGCTTCAAATTTACCTGGGCGGGCATCTCGGTAGGGTCGGAATTTGAGGTGCCGAGGAAATAGTCGTAGTCGGCTTCTTGATATTTTGATGGGACCTGAAAAAGGCAGATAAAGAGCGAGAGAGCGAGAGAGAAAGAGAGAGAGAGAGAGAGAGAGAGAGAGAAGAGAGAGAGAGAGAGAGAGAGATTCCTAGCCCTTCTCACGCACCGTCGTCGACACTTCAGCCTTTTTCTGCGGCTTCGCAACATGCTTCGGACTTGTCTGCCAAGTGACGGTTGGCTCTTCGCGTACTTGCTGGAATCCTTCGTCACGCTTCGCCTCGTTCGTCGGTTGAGGCCTTGATTGGGTATGACCATTCGCCATTGGCTGTAAACGGAAAAATTGGACAGAAAAGGGGATGTTGACGTCAGTATTTTGGCTGAGAAAAATAGGAAAACTGGTCTAAGGTACGATCGGCTACGTGTACGGTACCCTGTAAATAGGGTACGTTAAGAGTACGATACCTTCGGAGTACAGTACGGGAATAAAATACGCAACGACTACGGAGCATTGCCCTACGCGTACAGTATGACTACGGTAAGTTAGGAGACGTTTTGGATCGTATGCATGTCAAAAATTAAGGTATCGCGCACCTGTCTCTGCTCCTCCCTTTGCCTATAATTCTGATGCTGCGTCGGCGCCGGAGGTCTTGCGTAGGGTTGCGTAGGCCGTGCCTGATAACTTCCGCTTTTCGATGGGCTGTAGCCGGGAGCGACTGGGCGGTTTGTACTATAAAAATTTACAAAACAAAAACCCAAGATTACCCGGATCTTCTCTCCTCCTCCTCACGCTGTCGCTGACTTTGTGCCTTCAGCCAGACGTCAACCTTCTGAAACAAAATGTTAGTGTTCAAAATCAGGTGGAAAATAGGATCTTAAAGGGAGCGTGACAGGTGGGTGCCACGAACCCTTTAAAGCGCCTTAAATACGGAAGCTCGACACTACAAAGCAACGTAAAAGCGCATGAAATCAGCGGTTAGTGATAGCGTTTGAAGCAGAAAACTGTAGATATCTCTCTATCTTTCTCTCTATCTCTCTATCTCTCTCTCTCTCTCTCTCTCTCTCTCTCTTTCTCTTGCCACCTCAAAGCCCTGTATCGTGGAGAAAGCGTAGTTTCTGGCAACCCTCACCGGACCCGGCGGAATTGGTGGCTCGACGTCAGTGTCAACTATCTACATTTTCACTAATTATTAAAACTTCTCTGACTTTCTCTCTATCTCGCTCGCTCTCTCTCTCTCTATAAGTCGCTCTCTCTCTCTCCCTCTCTCCCTCCCTCTCTCTCTCTCTCTCTCTCTCTCTCCTTCCCTCTCTCTGTCTCTCTCTTTCTCTCTCGCTCGCCCTCTCTCATACTCTAACCTAAAGGGAAAGCAGTCGCAAAGCCATATCGTGATGCGATAATTCAAAGCTTTAAAGAAACCAAAAGGTGAAGATTAATTAAAATACCATTGGTCTAATCGCTGCCATGTTCTAAACTAAACACGTTACATGATAAAATCATTATAAAAATATGGGCCGTAGATCGATTGGACCGTCTCAACATAGAAGCCAAAAATCAACTAACCCTTGGTTCGACGCCAGCATCAGCAGCCTTGCCGTAGCTGCACCAGCCGCAGATTGCGTGCGATTGGGCCGACTAAAAGGAGCTTTTGGCAACTTTTTTAGTTGTCGATGCATTTCCAAAAAATTCCTGCTAACTAACCCTTCAAATTTAGGCAAAAAAGGGGGGTGATTCGCGAAATTTTTGGCAGGCCTTTAAAGAGACTTGGGAGGTAGAAATCCCGCAAAAAATGGCTTCCCTGCTGCTATCTGGTCTGCCCAAAATTTATCCAAAAAATCAGAGTAAATAGACCGTTACCTTTAATGTATCAATCGTATCGGAAAATTGTCCCAAGTCCGAGCGAGCGGCTGTGATCACGTGCGCCATTCGACCACATCTAAGCGAAAAATTTTGGCCCTAGGTGAGTCCGACTTGTCAAAAATGGCAATCTCGTGCTCCTGGACTCCCAGCTTTTCATAGGTGGAATCGACATCTCGATCGATGAGGACACGCGGGAATTCGGTCTGCAATTTTGGGTTTGTGCTAGCTGTCTCCATCCCTTTAGAGATGGAAAAAATAGGGAGAGGGAGAGCGGCAGAGGGAGCGAGAGAGAAAGAGAGAAATATAGCGAGAGAGAGAAAGGGAGAGAGAGAGAAGGAAAGAGAGAGAGAGCTCACCTGAACCTTCCCAATAATACCGTAATTCTCAAAATGCGGCGCCAAGACCGCCACCCGAACTCCGTGATTTGTAGTGGCTAGCGCGGAGAGCCTAAAAAATCAGATTTTTATACAAATTACCCATTTTCGTAAATCTTCGGTCGCGCTCTCTCTCTCTCTCTCTCTCTCTCTCTCTTTATTAAAACTAAAAAAATTGACCTCTCCAGCTGTTGCCGACATCTGGGGCATTGGAGGGGCATAAAAGAGATGAGCACCAGTTGACCCTGCAAAAAGCGGGTGGATGGGTTTTGGTTTTACAGGCACACACGAACGTGCGCGTTGCGTGGCGCGGAGTCTTCAAATCCACCGCTTGCTCGTTCCTTTAAGCCCCCAATTTCCCACCTTTCCAGTCTTGATATAATCGGCGCCTCGGAATACGATAGACGTCGGTGTGCATAGGTCCGTTTTGATGCCCCAAACGGCTGGCAACACGCCAAAAATTAGCGTGGCAGCGAGGAGGGGGGACATTTGAAGGAATGGGGTGGCTACATGAAGACCTGAAAAAACTGGGGAAATACATATGCTAAAAAATATGGGAAAAAAAGGGCAGACTAGCCGAGAACATTGGGGAAAATTAAAACAAAAGGGGCAAACCAGCCGGGATTGCTCAGGAACTCGCTTATTTTTAGGCAAGATAAATATGGTTTCAGAAATGAAGGAGAAAGGGAGTGAAAGAGGGAGAGAGAGAGAGAGAGAACGAGCGAGAGAAAGAGAGAGAGAGAGAGAGTGAGAGAGAGAGAGTGAGAGAGAGTAAGAGGCAAAACACAGGCAAGCTAATCAACAGTCACGCCTTCCAAAAACTGTTTTAGACCACTTAAAATAGGAATGCAAGCCAGCTATCTCTCAGCAAAATCTCAAAAACGAAATCAGACTGTTTTAAGAAAAACACCCGACGGCCCGATTTTCATTGCAAAATAAAACAGATCCTGACGCCGATAGGATCAATGATGATGCGAGAGAGGGAGAGAGAGAGAGGGAGAGAGAGAGAGAGAGAGAGAGAGAGAGAGGGAGATTCCAGTGTTAGAAACAGATACCCGGCTGGCTGTCGGTGTGGCTGTCCCCTCCAGTGAGACTGAGGTGTAATGGACGAGCCCCCCAGAGGGGAAGGGAGCAAAAGGACCCATATGACTGCCACTCATCCTATTTTTTCGCCCAGGCTCACAAAATCATCTCCAGGGCCCTGGTCCAGGTGTCCTCGTGAAGATGGAGATCCTGAAATGGGTCTGGCCGGGTGAAACGGGAGACCGGAGTGAAACGGAAATGCCGGTCGGGGTGGCTTGGAAGGACGAAGTACACCTATAGACGGTTGGTTAAAAAGGCCAGAAGCCTGGTTCTTGGCCAAAATTAAAGGATAGTTACTGTAGAGCAACGTAGCTATTATTTTCCAAATTTCTGGTGGATTGCAAGTACGGAGTACACCTATCTACGGAACTCACATCTACCGAAATCCGGGTTTTTTGCTAGGATCTATGGATAGCTACCGTAGCACATTGAACTTGCCATATTTTCGATAGATTCCAGTGATGCATTTTAAATTTTTGTGGCATAAAACGCAAATGAATCATCATTTTAGAAAATCTGAAAATCCAGGGTGTTTTTCCAGAACTCGAAAATTTTAATTTCTTAAAATTATCGTATCTAAAGTATATTAAAACAATTCTTAGACTTTTTACGTATAATTGGCATTTGGTATACGTTACATTAAATTCCTTGGCGGCGCAACGGCTTTATCGTTGAAAACTGATGATTTTCACAATGTTACAAAATTATGCACTTGTCACGTTGTTCTCGCACATTTCATTTGAGGAGACTATTTTTTCGCGAATTTGCTGAGCATTCCATCACTCACCTATGGACGTGACAAGTTTAAAAAACCTTTTTTGAACCGCAGAACTGACCGCCAAGGCTAAAACCCTGAAAAATTAACGCGGGCGAGAATATGCAGATGGTCAGGTCAACGGGGGTCAATCCGATTCAGTGGAGGGCATCCAGGGTCATTTCCCAAAACCACCACATCTTTCCATCAACCACCGAAAAACCCTAGAAAAAAAAGATGCATCCTTTTCTAATCTTCCTCCTGATCCCGGCCATTTATTGTGCTTGCGGCACCCCGACCGAATGTCAACAGATCGCCCAGCGATTGGATAAGGTGCGTTTTGTGAAGTTTTTGGGCTTGAGTATGAACACCATTTTTGTTGTTGATGTAAGGTAAAATGTAAGATGTAGCTCCAGAGCCGGGAGATTGACCAGGGCAGAAGGATCCAAGTGCAGTTTACCCCCCCCCCCCCCCTACGTCCCCCACCTACCGTATCTCGGCTCCATGTTCATCTACAGGTGTGTAAAGTATACCAAAATACTCGGGAGGGCCAGGCAAACATCTTGGTATACTTTACACACCTGTAGACCAACAGGGAGCCGATATACAAAAGTTCGGGGGGGGGGGGGGTAAACTGCACTCTAACCGGGGGATTGGAGATAATTTTCGTTCTTCGGAAGTATTCAGAATTTTTAAGGCTCTAGAGACAAAAGGACAGTGGCGTAGCGTAGCGAAATTTTGACCGCTCTGGACACTTATGAACATTGCTATAACGGAAAAAATACTTTTTGTAGCAAATCTGCGCAATTATGAAACGGACGGCAACGCTGCTTGAAATTTAAGGTGGAGCGTAGCGTAGCTGACGCTTATGGTAGTGAAATGTAGCATAGCGTGGCCAAAACCCCACTACGCCCAGCTTCTCAGAACAATAGGATTTTCACAATTTTTTTCGATTTTTCGATTTTCGATTTTCACAGATTTTCACGTTTTTGTAAATTAGCCTAGATTAGACCAAGCCCCGACAGGAACGCGCGTAATTTGGGGCGTAGCGCAGCCAAGAGTGAAGCTTGAATTTTCCGCCATTATTCTCAACTATAGTTTCATCTTAAGCATTTTCAGATGAAAGCCGAGATGCGCCATGGGGGCGGCTTCAAAGACCACGAGATGACCACCATGTCTACCACGCGAAGGGCAGATTACAATGCCACCTCGGAGTCAAAGCGCCAGAAATTCCAAGGTATTTTTTAATTTTGCCTTGCTTTATTTTTAGGCCAAACGAGTTAGTTGCCGTAATACGCCTCGTTGCGTTTGCCTACTTACGAAGCATTTTAGCCAATTTTTAAACTTAGCGATCGTGGCCAATTAATTTTAATTATCTTTTATGCAAGTCAACCATCGTAATCGTTTAGGCTCCAAGTCCAACAGCACCGAAACGAGCACCACCGGCCTCGGCGAACGGAATCGACAACTGCGCGAATGTGACTCCGGTGATGGAGTGAGTTGATTTTTAACAGTCCATTCATGGGCGTAGCGGATGCGTTACGGATCTTGGAGAATTCGTGCCGCTATATAACGCTCCTGAATACCCGGTTAGAACGAAATGGAGAGACGTAACGCATGTATGAAATTCTGCGCGTAGCTCGTAACGGAAATCCACTTCAAAAATTCTTAGAAGACCGCGACGCGACCCAGCCCCTTTAAAATCCATTTTCCAGACCCCCAACTGCTGCCCCCGGGACCTCCTTATCAACCTCGACGTGAGTTTTCAGCTTTGCAAGCAGTACAGTCCCATTTAGCATTTCGACGGCTGGGATTTTGTCGTCGCCCCCAGGGAGATCAACGTCCGCCAATGCGTCGGCGACTGCACCGTGCCGCACCTGCTGGTTCGTTTTTGTTTGGGGGTTGTTTGCCGCAATTGGTACTGGACTGCCAGCAAGGAGCGGTGAAAATCAAGATTGTTTAAAATAAAACCTTTTTGAAAGTTTGTATCTGTTTTATAGCAAAAAGCGGTCCCGGGCCCACCGAAGCAAATTTGGTTATCCTCGTCCCACCCCCCCCCCCCGCTAACAGCACGGTACCGCAAAAGTCATAGGGAACCGTATCCGACAAAAAAATTTTTAAAAAACCCTGCCTTGTCTGTTCCTTTCAAATAGTCACCAACTATTTGCAATCGAAGCTATCTCTTGAATTTCTACCTTTTAAGACCACGCGGGAAAACCTTGAGAAGAAAGACATGCTCCATCTCACGCGCAACGACTTCCTCCGGGCCAGCTACGCGGTCGAGGTAAGGCTTTTCCATGGATTTAAAAATATCTATTTCTACTTTTTCTTTTCCATTTCCTAAAGAACCTTTCTCAGCTAGCGCCCACGTGCTGCCACATCGACAGCTACGCGCCGCTCGACACCATCCTCATCTTCCCCAACCAGACGGTCACCAAGTACGTCTTCCACAACGTCGTTGCGCTCAGCTGCTCGTGCTTCTGAGGTGGAAACGAAAGCGCGTGGGAATTCTGTTAATGTTGTAAATTTTTGTTATGCAATTTCCAGAATTTTAAAATAAACTTTTAAATTAGCGTTGGAGCATGACGGAATTTACCAATATGTCCTTTTCCAACCTTTTATCTCGCTCTGACTATTTATTTTTTTTAGCAAATGGGTTTACCCTTTCACCCGCGCTCTCTCATTCTCTCTCACATACACACACACTCTCTCGCTCTCTCTCGCTCTTGCTCTCACCCCCACTCTCTCTCTGCCTCACTCTCTCTGTCTCTCTCTTTCTGTATCACCCTGACTCTCTCGCTCTCTCTCTCTCTCTCTCTCTCTCTCTCTCTCTCGCGCTCTCCTCTTTCTGTCTCTTTCTCGCTCTCCAAATCTCTATACTTTGGCCAACATCCAGCTCTGTCTCCTTCCCCTCACTTCTCAATCCCTTTAAATAATCCCCCCTCCTCCGATCATCCACCCCTCCAATATGCCCGAGAGCTGTCAACCATAGCGGCCCTATTTTTGAGAAGTCCCCTGGTGGGCCCACCCCAGCTGGAGGCCCTTCTCCGCCTCGAGATGGTTGGGGACAGATAGCAGGGGATGAAGTCCGAGGGAAAGGGATGGTTGTGATGGGCTGTGACAAGAGATGTCGCTTTATGTTAAAACACACTCCAACACACCCTCTGGGGGCATCACAAATAGCGCTATGGCTGTCAGGAGATCCTGAAAAAGGTGTATACATGCAGATTGGAAACTTGGATAAGGAAGAAGAATGATGCGGGGTGTCGTGGAATTTTTGGCGTTTTTGGAGTTTTACGTTTTTAGGAGGAAGCCCACGGCTATGGTAGTCTTTAGTGGGTCTTCAAAATGGTGATTTCAAGCTCGTCTCACTATCCAGCTCTCGACTTCGCTCTGTCTCTCGCTCTGTCACTCTCTCTCGCTCTCTCTCCCTCTGTATCTCTCTCTCTCTCATTCGCTCTCTATATCTTTCTCCCTCTCTCTCTGTCTCGGTATCTCGCCCTCTCTCTCTATCTCAATATCTCGCCCTCTCTCTCTCTCTCTCTCTCTCTCTCTCTCTAGCTCTCTATCTATGTCTCTCTCTCCGTCTCTCTATCTGTCTCTCTCACCCTCTCTATCTCTGTCTCTATCTCTGTCTCTATCTCACGCTCTC